CACAATTTTACTGATGTCTGCTTTTTCACTACAAAGTTTGTAGTGTCCCNCTTTTTGAGACTACAAAAGTTTGTAATGTCTGCTTTTTTCACTTCAAAAGTTTGTAGTCTGCTTTTCTGATATTGAGTTTGTTTAAAGTCTCCTTGACTATGTAAAGGATCATGGGCACATGGTTGAAGGATTGAGTTCAGTTGACTTTTTGCCATTGTTGCATGTACACATTTGCTGTCATGTCATGTCTATGACATTAGTGGAGACTGTATTTTCTCTTCAGATAGGAAGTGGCTATCCTATCTTTTACCTTCAGACTTGGAGCCACTGCCTTACATCTGCCTAGGTTGAATAAGTTTCATTAGTCTTTTTTCAGTCTTCCCAAATCATGAGCTAGTATGACTGTTCAGTCATTTACCCTATCCAGTCTTGCCTGCAAATTGTCTTGCCAGTACCACCAGTGAATGATCAAAGGCTGTCTATAATATTCATTCAAGATTCAGATATAACACAATCTACCATTTGGTGAATACACTTCAAAGAACACATGTGAAGAGAACAGTGGCCACTGATACTCAGTAAAAAGTGAAGTCAAGGAAAATCACATGAAGTCAGAGGTCAGTCAGCCATCTGCCACACATCTGTATTTTTCACATCAGCTTTCCCTTGGCATCAAATGAGAGGTGAATTTAGTCATAGATTAGTACTCAATTAGTATTGAGATTGTCATAAGTAGAGCTGCAACCAATGAAAGAGATGGTCTGGAAGTGTGACCGATCTGTGATGAGGCTGAGTGATCTCGCCAAGAGGCCAGGGCCCTGGGTGGCGGCAACCCAGAAGGGAGAAAGCGCCAGGAATTCAGATGAGAATAGAGCACACTCTAAATATATAGCCATGTACCCCCCCAAAGCACATAACACACAAAAGGCTTGCACAATGGCAAACACTCAATCCCACATACACAGCTGCTACACTGTACTCAGAACTGGTCAGCGGCACTATGGAAGGGGAGGACATCCGCACTGAAGGGAAGGAAGAAAGGTGTGACAGCATGCTGTACAAACTCCATGGTCCCTTGGAACCAACCTGAATGCAAGTGGTGACCCTTTGCACAAGTCCTGTCTGAAGAAATGAAAGTCCAAGCCTGAAAGAACAAAAGTGC